TACTTACCTTTCTATTCTGTCCTTCTCTATACTGGAATAGTTGTCTGCTGCTCTTTCCCCTTCCTTTTATTCCTATCATTTCCACAATTTTCCCCATAGCTTAACTCTAGCCAGAAAAATTTTCTATACTTCTCAATACTTTCAGAATGCTCGTTAGAGATTTAATTAGTGCTGCCTCTGTCCTGGAGGCTTTTTCCCCTATGGCTTGGCTCCTTTCTTCAGTTTTACATTGACAGTCGTTCTTCTCAGCATTCAGTCTCTTACTTTTATAGTCACAGTGCAATAGTACAGGGAGTGCTCAATTATTGATTGTAATTAAGTAAGGGATTATCCTTCCAAAAACTTGGCCCATTAATGGAACTTAGAAACCATATGTATACACCTGTAAAGCATCACAATTAAGAGTGAACATACTTTCTCCTCAAAGCTTTCTCATCCTCCTTTGTATTTTCATTCCCTCCCCAGCAACCATTATCTGCTTACAGTCACTAAACAATGAGTTTGCCATTTTGTATAATTTTATCTAAATAGGATCATACAGTAATTTTTTGTATGTGGCTTCTTTGATTCAGCCATAATTATTTTGAGATCTCATCCCCCCCCCCCCCCCCCCCCCCCCTTGTTCTCACATGTATCAATATAGTCCATTCATTCTTTTTGTTGGTGAGTGGTACTCTCTAATGTAGATACACCACAATTTGTTTATCTGTTTGGGTTCTCCAATTTTTGGTTATTACACATAAAGCTACTTGTGAATATTTGTGTACTTAGTGTTTGTTGTGGTATACACTTTTAATTTTTGGGTTAATACCTAGGATTGGAATGGCTGCCGATCATATGGTAGGTATGCTATCTAACTTTAAGAAACACCCAAACCCAATTTTCTAAAGTGATTCTACCAGCAGTGATTCTTTACATTCTTACCAGCACGTGTATGAGAGTTCCATTTGTTTTACATCCTTGTCAGCACTTGATGTTAGTTAGTCTTTAAATTTTAGCATTCTAGTGGGAGTATAATAGTTATCTCACTGTTGGTTTAATTTGCGTTCTTTAAATAATAACGTTGCCGCATCTTTCCATGTGCTTATTTGTCATATATCTTTGATGACATACTTGTTCAAATCTTTGCCGTTTTTTATTGGATTGTTTTTATTGAGTTGTAAGAGTTTGTTATATAGCCAACCTTTTGATTAGTTTTGCATATATTTCTCTCCCAGTCTGTGGCTTGCCTTTTTTTGTTTTATAACTGTCTTTTTCAAAAAACAACAGTTTTTTCTTTTAATGATCTCTCTAGTTTTATTGATTTTTTCTCTTGATATTTTATGCTTTTTCTCTCATTTTAAGAAGTTCTTTGCCAAATCCAAAGTCACTAAGATTTTCTCCTATATCTTCTAAAGTTTTATGGGTTTTAAATTTAATATTTAGAAAGCTTGTGATCCATTTCAATTTGTATAAGATGTGAGGTAAGATTGAGGTTTACTTTTTTGTGTTTGGGTATCCAGTTATTTCCAGACCATTTGTTTAGAAAGATTATCCATTATTAATTACCTTTGCACCTTTTGTCAAAATTAGTTGGCCATATATGTGGTAGATCCATTTTTGTATTCCATTTTGTTCCATTTGATTCTATCTGCTTTTCTTTATGGCCAATACCACTATGTCTTCATCTTGAGATCACTGCCTGTTGCCCTACTTCTAAGTGTTCCTTAATTAAATTTTTCTTTTTAGCTAGTGCAACTTGTATGGATTTTTTAGTTCCTTTGTGATTCTTTGTACTTAATGAACAAATATTTATGGTTAGTATACAATATAGGCTTTGTGATGGAGATAAGCCTTTATGAGAAATATTCTAGTCAGCTTCTGGGAATGTTGCCTTTGAAATTCCTTTTGATTTTGTGGTAGTAAATAAGTGTGACTCAACTGGGCTTTGCCAGAGTAGTCTAAAAGTTTTAAAAAAATTAAGAAAACTATTCTCCAAATATAGCAGATATTCAGAAAATGTTGATTTTAAACAGTATTTGATACTAAAAAAAATCTTTTTCTGCAGTCTGGATGTGGATAGTGAAGCTTAGAAATTACTGGGGTTTAGGACAGAACATCTGGTGATGGGGGATATTCCAGCAGCTGTCAATGCATTCAGGAAGCAGCTATTCTTTTGTAAGTACTTACATGTTTGCTGTGATGTAATATCATGTTCCTAATAAACCTTGAGTTATAAAAAGTTATTTTATGGGGGAAAAGCATGAAGATTAAGAGTTTTTAAAACATTTTGAACTATTGTAAATGCAAAGTTTATTCGTGTAAAATATGTAACTGTAAAACTTAAATATCACTGAGCCAATTTCAGCTTTAATTTTTCTGAGTAAGATAATTTATGTTCTGATCACCACTAATTAGGGTACCACCTGTATCCTGGTTTGTCTTGGGACTTGGAAGTTATGTGGTCTGGTAGAACCCTCAGGTCCAAGGCAAGTAATGATTGCGCTACCCTGCCACAAAAGATATTAGCACAGTATTTTCTTTTGACCTTTTCTTTTTCCTTTTTCTTTTTTGAGATGGAGTCTTGCTCTGTCGCCATGGGTAGGAATACAGTGGTGCCATTGTAGTTCCCTGGGCAATCGCAAACTCCTTGGGCTCAAGTGGTCCTCCTGCCTCAGCCTCCATGCAGCTGGGACTATAAGGCACCACACAAAGCCCTGGCTAATTTTTTTCTATTTTTACTAGAAGGTTGGGTATCGCTCTTGCTCAGGCTGGTCTTGAACTCCTTGAGCTCAAAGCCAATCCTCCCTCCTTGGCCTTCTGGGACAGACTGCTAGCAGTACCAGACAGGCAGCCACTGTCCCTGGCCAGCACCGGCATTTTTCATACATTTTGTAGCCACCGTGTTACCTGCTGTTGCAACTGCCAGGAAGTTGGCAGGCTACCACCAGTTGGCCTTTATACTATATCCTGGAGGAAAAGGTTAGCTTTAGTATCTTAAAGGTGATTTATTTTCCCCAAAGACTTTAAAGTACCTCCAGATCTAAAAAAAGAAAAAAAGAGTAAGTAAGTCTTCTAGCAGTTGGCCTTTTCCTCCTATGACTTGGTTTTGAGCAAGTTTCCTCTAAAATAGAATTACCAATTGCAATTTGAGGTCAGTCATGTTCCTTATTGGTTGGAGTATATTACAAACAATTGAATTCAATTTCCTAGTCTTTGTAATTTTTATTTAGGATAGTTCCTACTGTAGGTTTATGAATATTTCTTCTGTAGGCTCTAATTTGCTGTTAATCCTACACTTGATGTTAGCCAAAAGGCAGAGAAGCGGCTTTTTGCTGTTAGTCCTATCAAGTTATTTCTCATCTCCAAAAGCTTGATTTTGGGTCTTTTAAAAAAAATTTATTTCTCTAATTATGCTTTTCTTTACCTTTTTTGAGCATGTGGAATATAGTTATAACTAGTTTAATGTCCTTGCCTAATTCTCTCATCTATTTCATTTCTGAATCTGTTTCTATTGATTAATTGTTTTCATTATGGGTTTTATTTTTCTGTTTAGTTTCTTTGTTTGCCTGATAACTTTATTTTTGGATATCAGACATTGTGAAGTTTCTTGTTGGTTGCTGAATTTTTTTTTATTCCTTTGAATATATTTTGGCTTTGTTCTGGGATGGTTATTTGGAAATAGTTCATTCTTTTTGAGGCTGTTTTTAAGTTTTGTTAAGCAGATCTGAAACACTCTTTATTTAGTCTATTGCTAATTTGTGTCCATTATTAAAGGTAGTACTCTTCTGACTGCTGTACTTGATGTCCATGAACTATTTTAGAAACCTGTATGATCTCTGAGGTTTCATCTCCTCCATTCTGGTGGTTCTTTCCCAGGCCTTAGTAGTTTTCTCATGCATTAAGTTAAATTAGAACCTAGCCAAAGACTAGAGGGACCCTTCTGTAGATCTCTAAATCTTGCTCTCTATAGCTCTCTCCTTTCCACTATTGTGTCCTATAAATTCTAGCCACCTTGGTCTCCTCAATTCGGTGAGACTGTCAAATGTGTTTGGGTTCCTCCTCTATGTTATTGGCAAAACTCTCCAGGCAGTAAGCTGGGGCACTCATAAGGCTCACCTCATGTTTTCCTCTTCTGTCAGATCACTGTACTGTGCTAATAGTTGAGTGTCTGAAAACTGATGTTTCATGTACTTTAGCTATTTTTTTAGTTATCTGAGGCAGAAGGGTGAATCCAGTTCCAATTACTTCTATCACAGCTAGCTATGAAAGTTAAATATTATTGCATCTCACCCTTTCTCCTATGTGGATACAAAACATTTTTTGTGGTGTTGCCAGTGGTGCCTGAATGTTTTATAGCATGTAAGTGCAGTATTAATAATGTGTTTATTTTTAGTACTCAAACTCTATTTGGACTTCTGTGTTACTACCACATTGTGTGGTTCATAGACTAGTGTTGTTTTGTTACTGGCCTACAAAGAGATAAGTAGGAAAGTTTGGAATAAGCATTTAGGAACAAAGTAATTTGACATTACTATGAAATTTCTATTGTAATTTACAAAAACCCAACTGTTACAGATTGGAAATAAAAAACCTAGTCCTTTAACCACAGGTAGTTTGAGAAGCTCTGTGTTGTACCATTTGGCCAGAATAACCCTTTAATAAAATTATTTGATGTATATAATTGGCTGTGGCAGGAAAAATTTGTAGATAAGGATCCAAGACTATTTTGAGATTCTGGGCAAATGGCCCAGCTAGCTTAATTACCTGCAGCTGAAAGCACTGCCTTTTAAGTTGTACCTCATCTCTGCGGTTTTCGCTGTGAAGTTTGCTAGTTATTTTCAACCCTGGATATTTGAAAGAGTAAGAATTAAAATTGATTATGTAAGTAGGTGAATAATTCTTGGGTGTTTAATAAATCATAGCTTTTTTATTCCTTTATATTTTTTCTGAATTTATTTAATTTTCAGGCTTAAAATAGGCTTCAGTTTTACTTTTTCCCTCTTAATTTTTCATTACAGAATTGAAGATGATGTTCCTGCTCCTTCTACTTCTGGGGATAAAGTACAGAGGTAAGATTATTTACATGGTACAATTAGATTCATATCATATGTGGAACATAAACTAAGAGCATTGTAACTTGAGGGCAGTTAGTTTCATTTAATTAACTGAACAGTAAGGTACTTGCCTGTAATTTATAGTCTCCTGACAATGATGTGTAAAGGTTTTTTGCATTTGATTCAAATATTAGAATTTATTTTGCTCTTTACTCATGCGTAACAAATGATAATCTATTCTTTCTTTGAATACTTTTGCTAATTTAATCTCTATTTTGTAAGGTTGCCATTTTCAGTTTTGTGGTTATTCTAGTTTAAAAGTAATTAACTAGAAAGCTTACCCAAAGGTCAGATGCTAGGTTGCATGCCTGGAGATTATATTTGTTAAGCTTGAGATAGAATTTGGGATTTTGTGTTTTGGGAAAGCTTTTGATAAGATTCAGAATTACTGGTTCTATTTAATCCTTCTGCAGAATATCTTGCCTTGCACATCTGTTTTTTAAAGTGTCTGTAGGGATTTTCGTTTTTGTTATGTTTTTTATAATGTCTTACCCCTGTGATCTTGGTTATTTAAAATAAGTGTTCTAAAAATACTACCTAATTATGTGTACGGCAATCCAGTTTTTGGGTGGAGTGAATACTGCTCAGGATTGGTCCTAAACATGTATTCACCTAAACTTTTAAGATGGTTACTTGTGGCATATCCCAGAAGATTTAAGTTTCTGGACTGCATAAATGTAGCTGGGCTATTATCTCACTCAAATACATAGTAATTATCAATATTATAAGCATTTGATTTTTAGAGGAGCAGGATATTCTGATTCAGAGAGAAACATGAAAGGTTAGTTGGAAAAATTCTGATTAGTTTCACTTTAAGTTCGTAACTACTGATCTGAGTGGATTTTTAGTGTTGTTTTGGGGGGGGTGTTGTGTGTGTGTGTTTTTTGGAGACAGGTCTCATTCTGTTGCTGGGCAGTGTCATTATCACAGTTACAGCAACCTCAAACTCCTAGGGTCAAATGATCATCATCCCGCTTCAGCCTCCTGAGTAGCTAGGATCACAGGCATGCTTCCACCATGCCTGAATACTTTTGTTGGTTGTTTTTTTTTTTTTTTTTTTTTGGAGACAGACATTGTGCATTGTGTTGCCTGGGGCTAGAGTGACGTGGAGTCAGCCTAACTCACAGCAACTTCAAACTCCTGGGCTCAAGCAATCCTTCTGCCTCAGCCTCCTGAGCAGCTGGGACTACAGGCATGCACTACCATGCCTGGCTAATTTTTTTTCTATTTTTAGTGTTTGGCTAATTTCTTTCTATTTATAGTAGAGACTGGGTCTTGCTCTTGCTAAGGCTGGTCTCGAACTCCTGACCTCAAGCAATCCTCCCACCTTGGCCTCCCATAGTGCTAGGATTACAGGCGGGAGCCACCCGGCCACCTGAATAGTTTTTTTCTTTTCTTTCTCTCTCTTTTTTTTTTAAAGAGATGGGGTCTCACCATGTTGCTTAGGCTAGATTCAAACTCTTTGCCTCAAGTGGTCCTTCTGCCTTGGCCTCTGAAAGGGCTAAGTATTATAGGTGTGAACCACTGTGCCTAGCCCTGGGTGGATTTTTGCTATTGACTGGCACTTATGCCACATTTCCCTGGTCAAATTACTTTTCCATTCTGCTGAATAACTTTTTCTTAATATGTTCCTAAACATTCAACACCATTACCCCTTTTCTTACTTTTACCTGATAATTTTACTTTATGTTTTGTTATTTTTGGTTTTTTGTTCATTGAATAAACAATAGGAAGAGAAAGTTCTTAACACTGCATCATAAATCTCTATCCACATATTCTCTCCTTTGGGATGTCTGTTCCTGCTCTTATTCAGCAGTTGTCAAACTTTTTCTTGTACACCCTCAGGGTCTCCAGTATCCTTTCAGGGATTATGTAAGATCAGAACTATTTTCATAATGACAAGATGTTTGCCTTTTTCACTGTGTTGACCACTGGCAATAATGTTGAAAAAATAATGGTGGAAAAACCTGCTGTCCCCATAACATAAATCAAGGCAGTGTCACCAAACAATACTAGCAACTCTGTGTTCTTCCCACCCACCTTCATTTAGAAATGTCCATGATAAAGCAATGTTGAACATTAGTACAAACTAAGTGTGTATTAATTCTCAATCCTTGACTACATGGCTTTGTAATAATCTGGCAAAATAGAAATTATGGATAAAGCACTTCTACATATCAAAGTAGATATGATGGTTGTCTTTAGGAAAAGTACTGGTATGATGGTTTGAATTATGAGCTACTTTTTTCATGGAACTTTTAGTTCTACTTACTTAAAAGAATGACCAGCAGACAAACTGATTATTCAGAGTTGGATGTTTGGCAGATGTTTTCTCCAAAATGAATAAAGTGAGCTTATCACTTTAAGGGAAAAAACAACTTACAGTATCTGTTGCCAGTGATAGAATGTGAGCTTTCAAACAAAAATTAAGATTTTGGAAACTCCTGTGAGATTGACAGTGTCCTAATACTTCAGGACTGTTTTTTTTTTTTTTTTTTTTAATTTTTAGTGTATTATGGGGGTACAAGTGTTAAGGTTACATATATTGCTTGTGGACCCCCCTCTCCCTGTAAGAGCCTCAACCATGTCCATCCCCCAAATGTTGCACATCTCATTGTGTTTGTATATACCCATCCCCTCCTCCCCCCTCCCACCCTCCCGACACCCGGTAAATGTTGCTCCTATATGTCCACTTAGGTGTTGATCCATTAATACCAATTTGCTGCTGAGTACCTGTGGTGCTGGTTTTTCCATTCTTGAGATACTTCACTTAGTAGAATGAGTTCCAGCTCTATACAGGAATATACAAGAGGTGCTATATCACCATTGTTTCTTTTTTTTTCAATTTTTTTTTTTTTTGAGACAGAGTCTCACTTTTGTTGCCCAGGCTAGAGTGAGTGCCGTGGCGTCAGCCTAGCTCACAGCAACCTCAAACTCCTGGGCTCAAGCGATCCTCCTGCCTCAGCCTCCAAGTAGCTGGACTACAGGCATGCACCACCATGCCCGACTAATTTTTTGTATATATACTTTTAGTTGGTCAATTAATTTCTTTCTATTTTTAATAGAGATGGGGTCTTGCTCAGGCTGGTTTCGAACTCCGACCTTGAGCAATCCGCCGCCTCGGCCTCCAGGGTGCTAGGATTACAGGCGTGAGCCACCGCGCCAGCCTCACCATTGTTTTCTATAAGCTGACTAGTACTCCACGGTATACATATACCACATTTTTTTTTTTTTTTTTTGAGACAGAGTCTCACTTTGTTGCCTAGGCTAGAGTGAGTGCCGTGGCGTCAGCCTAGCTCACAGCAACCTCAAACTCCTGGGCTCAAGCGATCCTTCTGTCTCAGCCTCCCAAGTAGCTTGGACTTACAGGCATGAGCCACCATGCCCGGCTAATTTTTTCTATATATATTAGTTGGCCAATTAGTTCTTCTCTATTTATAGTAGAGACGGGTCTCGCTCTTGCTCAGGCTGGTTTTGAACTCCCGACCTGGAGCAATCTGCCCGCCTCGGCCTCCCAGAGAGCTAGGATTACAGGCGTGAGCCACCGCGCCCGGCCTACATATACCACATTTTATGAATCCACTCATGAATTTATGGGCACTTGGGTTGTTTCCACAGCTTTGCAATTGTGAATTGTGCTGCTATAAACATTCAAGTGCAGGTGTCTTTTTCATAAAGTGACTTTTGGTCTTCTGAGTAGATAGATGCCTAGTAGTGGAATTGCTGGATCAAATGGTAGATCTACTTGTATCGCTTTGAGGTATCTCCATATTGCTTTCCACAGAGGTTGAACTAGTTTGCAGTCCCACCAGCAGTATAGGAGTGTTCCTCTCTCCACATCCACGCCTGCATTTGTTGTTTGGGGACTTTTTGATAAAGGCCATTCTCACTGGAGTTAAGTGGTATCTCATTGCGGTTTTGATTTGCATTTCCCTGATGAGTAGAGATGTTGAACATTTTTTCATATGTTTGTTGGCCATTATTCTGTCTTCTTTTGAGAAGTTTCTGTTCATGTCCTTTGTCCATTTTTTGATAGGGTTGTTTGATTTTTTTTCTTGCTGATTTTTTAGGACTGTTCTGATGAAATTGATGATGGTAGTTTTTGAAACTGTGGTAAAATAAATACACAACATAAAATTTACCATCTTTTTAAGTCTATGTAGTTCACATTGTTGTACAACTAATCTCATTTTGCAAATCTGAAACTATAATTATTAAACAACTCCCCATTTCTCCCTCCTCCAGCCCCCCTGGCAATCACCATTCTACTTTCTGTCTCTGAATTTGACTACTTTAGGTACCTCATGTAAGTGGAATCATACAGTATTTACCTTTTTGTGACTGGCTTATTTCATTTAGCATACTGTTTTGTTTTTGTTTTTGTTTTTTTTTTTGAGACAGAGTCTCGCTTTCTTGCCTAGGCTAGTGAGTGCGGTGGCGTCAGCCTAGCTCACAGCAACCTCAAACTCCTGGGCTCAAGCAATCCTCCTGCCTCAGCCTCCGAGTAGCTGGACTACAGGCACGAGCCACCATGCTCGGCTGATTTATTATATATATATATTATTATATAGTATTATATTAGTTGGCAATTAATTTCTTTCTATTTTATGGTAGAGACGGGGTCTCGCTCAGGCTGGTTTTGAACTCCTGACCTTGAGCAATCCGCCGCCTGCCTCGGCCTCCCAGAGTGCTAGGATTACAGGCGTGAGCCACCTCGCCCGCCACCGCGCCCGGCCTAGCATACTGTTTTTTGTTTTGTTTTGTTTTTTGAGACAGAATCTTGCTTTGTCGCCCAGGCTAGAGTGAATGCCAGGGCGTCAGCCTAGCTCACAGCACCTCAAACTCTGGGCTCAAGCAATCCTGGCCTCAGCCTCCCGAGTAGCTGGGACTATAGGCATGTGCCACCATGCCCGGCTAATTTTTTCTATAGATATTAGTTGACCAATTAATTTCTT